GCACCTTTGTGGATTCTAAAACCTCTACCAAGCATGTAAGTTTATAGTTGCCTTTGGATTCATTTTGCTAGGCATTATTGTAGATTAGTTACAAATGTATTCGGGTATATCCCTGTTACACAAGAATAAATACACATGTGTTGGTAGAAGCACCTAATTCTAATTGCTTTGTTCACAGGCAGAGATTGAGGTGGAAAGGCTACTGAACCCTTCCCTTTCTAATGTGGAACTTATGGATAAGTTCTTTGAATCAAATAGGCGTGACCATGTTGTTGGTTATGGTGGTGGAATAAAAGCAAGAGACATACGGAGTCCGATTGTTACCAAAGCTGAACTGATAGAAAAGCTTACACAGTCTGAACAGGAAAAGAAAGAACTTCAAGAAGATAATCGAGCACTTCATGAGGAAAATCGAATGATTACCGATCGTGTTAGCCGAATGGAAGAAGAATGGGCAGAATTAAAGCATAATATGAGTGCTAGTTCAGCTCATGAATAAAAAGTAATCATATGTAAGTATCTACACCTAGAAAGATTATTTATACCAGATCTCTTTATTTGATTTTATTTGTTTGTTGTTGATATGAAATTTGCTTATTGCAGGGCGCAAGATGAAGAGCAACATTAGCAGCATGACCTCACAATTGTTCATGAGAAGGCATTTGATGGGTGGATCCCTTCAAGCATAGCTTAGTGCTACCTTGTTATTTGTAGTCTTAAGTCAGCTACTATTTGTTTCATGTTTTGGATTGTATTTACCCCTTTGGTCACATGAACCATCGAGGACCATTGTGAAGTTGAGTTTGTGGAATGTTGCAAATTAATTCATCTATAAATTGCCTATTGTGAAAGCATGCCATTGTTTATGTCGCATATTGGTTGTTGATGCTATTGCCATTCCAATATAAAATTATTAGTGATAAATGTGTGGTTGTTAATGCTATAAAAGTGGTCACTACTACCCTCCATATAGTACCTTGTACAAACAACTAGCGACCACAAATGTGGTTGTTAATGCATTATGGTAGATGGCACTATGATATTAACGATGACGAATGTGGTTGTTGTTAATATAAACGTGGTCGTTAATGCTATAGTATCAATGACCACATATTATCCCGTCGTTGAAAAGTTAATGACAGGAAATTGTGTGTGGTCGTTAATAGTATTAACGACGGAGCCTTTAACGACCATGGACGACCACATTTTTGTGGTCGTTAAAAACTTTTAACGACCACATATCGACTTTTAACGACCACATATCCCGTCGTTAATACCACTTTTTCTTGTAGTGATAAACATTGTGCTCAGCTGGTTTGTCGCAAACTTGGCTTCCCAATGACGTCAACTACGTGTTTCGGATGGAACGTGCGAGGTACCAATGCTCGCGCGTGCTGCACTGTCGTGTGGGAGTTCGTTGCCCAAGAGCGTGTGACTCTTGTATGCCGCTACTTCGCCGTTGCAGTTGGTCAATTCGATCGAGGAAGGGGCTGACGATTGGTACATGGTGGGAATTGGGAGGAAGCGATGGCTACTGTCGGTGCTCTGATTGCCTAGGAAGCCCGTTCGTTGTCTTCATGTTGCAAAATAAAAAAAGGGTAGACCCAGTGCCACAGGCTCCCATATGAGTAGGGTCTGGGGTTCATGTCGCAAAATACTTCTATGTAAATTACAACCGCGTGCTTTCCGGTCGCTAGTCTTGGTAATCTTGCGATTACTATGGCCAGCTTAGGTTGTAACAAACTCTACAACTCTACTTCTGCTTAATGAAAACCGTGCCGATGCACGTTCAAGAAAAAAAAACAACACAACAACAACTAACCGGCGCTGTCGCGAGGACGGATGGATCGACCTTGCTTCAATGCTGTGAAACGCCGGCCACGGGGGTCGCAGCGCAGCGAGCAGCCCATCCAGTGCCCAGATCATCAAGCAAGTCCGCCATAATTGAATCTTAGTGCTAGTACTCTTTCCTTTTCCTACAATTATTGCCCGATCGTTCTAGTTCTAGCTGTCCTAGCTAATGACAGTCGTGCACCTATACATCGACGAAAAGTTGTATACAGCTTATGTCCGTTTCGCAGGAAAAAAAAACACACCAATCTCGAACATGGTTAGCTCATGAGTTAATTTATAAAACCCTTTATTTGTCGAATAATTATACTTCCTCCGTCCGTAAATAAATCAATTTCTAGAATTATCTGGAGTCAGACTTTTCAAGTTTTCACAAATATCTATATTTTTTCTATAAATCCACTCAAATATAAAAAAGTTTAACTTGGAATAGCTTTAGAAATCGATTTATTTAGGGACAAAGAAAGTATAGAGCATCGCCAAAAGCTTCTTAACTAAAAACACCTAGTAAACCAATAATTTTGCCAAATGAAGAAAATAAATACTCCTATGAAGTTTTAATTTTGTTTTTTCACTAATATAGTTAGCTTTCTAAAACTCGAAAAACGGAAAGAGGAGGGGCACCTAGCATAGCAAGCGTGGAACACACACACATCTACGTGTCGAGCGAGGTACTTAATATATTCTCATATCTAGAGAGTTATTTAGAAAACTATGGAAGAGGGTCCTTTTTTCAAAAAAAAAAAAACTAATTAGAAAGTTGTTTTAAAGAGATTTTATATAGGACAAACACAAATAATCACAACTGCCTTAAAGTGTTATTACTCAAAATTCTTCCTAGAAATTGCGAAAAATGTTGCCATATTGAGTAGCTTTCTCATCTCACAGAAAAAAAACCAGTTGCGATTCGCAAATGTCCTTAGTATAGATAGTCCCAAAAGGATTATATATCAAGCTGAATTTTTTTTGGTGATCCAGCTGGGACACGGGAATTTTCATGTTCTCCCAAGAAATGAACTTGTCATGTAATATACTTCCTATTTTCCAGATGGCGGATTATGGATCTCAATGTTATGTTTTAACATTGCAAATGAGAAAAAAAAAATTCATGCTGCCTGCAGAAACTCTGGCCCTGTTCGTTTCGCTGAAATTTGACTTATGCCGGTGGTTATGCTGATTTGTTGTGAGAGGAAAATATGAAGTAGTATTGTAGAATAGGGTTCTGTCATTATCTTAACAAAAGTGGGTCTGTCGGCCAAAAAAAAACAAGAATTGCACGCTCCAATGAGAAGACAGAAGCACTGCGCTTCTTCTAAGCATGCATACTTATATTATCAAGCTAGATCAATAGCAAATTGCTTTGATTTGGGTCATCACATCACTGGCTTCATCAAGCCGGGCGGGCGACCGGTTCTATTCAACTACGGTTGTACTGTTGAAGCTTGTTAGGCTCGCTCCTGGCCTCCCTTTGCTTCAAGAGGGGACAAGTGTGTGCACACCCAACCCCCATGCATGCACTTATCTTCTTTTAATAAAGTTCATCCCAGTGGAGTGCATTGTTGGCTGCTATCTAGCTTACCCGGCCAGAGATGCTACCTATCCATGCATCCTTCACCAGCTAACTAGCTAGTTTGAGTCAAAGGGCATGCATCTTCTGGCAATGCAACTGGGCATATCTTGTTCCCTTCTCCATATATGCATCATGCATTAGAATAACATCTTGCCAAGATCATGTTCCTGCTCCCATATATACTGCCCCCACTTTGCGTAGCTTTACCAAGACTACAAATGTGCTTTAGGTGGCTAGCTAGCTGCTAGCCTCCTCTTGAAACTTGAATAGTAGTAGTAACATGCATGCATATCCATGTAGCTTGTCCATCTTGACCTGAAAGATCTCACTTGCACAGCACTTTTTGTATATGCGCGCGCGCGCGCACACACACATATATATATATATATATATATATATATATATATATATATATATATATATATATATATGTGTGTGTGTGTTTCTGGGTTAGTTTGGGCTGGCTGGTGCTGGTTTGTTGTGAGAGGAAAACACTGTTGGCTGATTGAATAAGTCAGTCTAAAACCAACAAGCGAACGGGGTGATCGACAACTGCAAGAAGCCATTCCGTTTCTTATTATATATCTTGTTGCTTCATAGAACCTTGTAACAGTAGTATTCTATGTGCCGCCCAAATTGATATTGAAGGAACCAGAGAGGTCGTTTGAGGAATTTGTACTAGGAATATTGTATATATTGGATGTCAATGTGGATCATCATGAGCTTGCTAGAAGCTAACTAGCTACACACGGGAATGTCAATCAGTTCTCACTAGTTTAGCTAGAGACCGATGCTGGTTTCAGATAACTCTTGTGCTCACCAGCTGTTTTACTCCTGATGACACGAAACACACCAGCCGCCCTCCTGTTTTGAAAAATCAGCATGTTGGATCGGAGAAGCCTTTTTAAATTGAAAAGTTTGGGGGTACTCTGCTTTGAATCTTTGCAAGAGAAATGGTACTTTGAGTCAAGCAAGTTTCCTCTTGATCCTCTCCTTTTTTGAATTCTCGAGGAATTGTAAACATTATTACTTACCGAGATTGCAAAAAAAAAAAAAAAAAAAAAAACCTTGATCACAGAATCTGGAATTTCCTCTCGATCATCGACCTGGACCTGTTTGTTACAGCTTTACTACTGTTCAGTTCAGTAAATGGGAAATAACCAACGCTAATTTTAGCGACTGTTGTTTGACACGAATTTTAGTGTGTGTACGTAGGGATGAAAATGGTCGAAAAATCCCTCAACCGATGTCTACATTTACATTTGAATACGAAAACGAAAGCAAAAACGGTAAAGCCAGACACGAAAACGAACACGAACTTACGGAATATCAAAAACGAACCAATTCGAGCAGAATTATGTCGAACACGGTCGGTATACAAAAATTCAATACGTAATACCGACCCGTAAAGTCCATAACAATTAACAAGTGCATGACCCAAGCACATAACAATTACCAAGTGCATGATCAAGTTCAAGTGCATATAATAATTAACAAGTGCATGACCCTTGGTCTTAAGTATTAACACAATAGCTGACAACCTGACACACAAATACAAGTCTAGAACAAGCAATTAATACTAACAGATAACAAAACATCTACGGTTCATCAGCATCATCCATGAGGTCAGGATCACTTTCCATGTCTTTTGCTTCTCATCCCCCTCCTTGTCCTTTTCCTACAAGTTTGCAAAGTGAATTCAAATTAGATGTAGCAACTAGCATATTTCAGAGCAAGTGGTCAATAAACATACCTCAATTTTTAGTTTAGCCACAACCTTAGCCAAAGCCTCAACATCAAGATCAGTCACAATTGATCCAACCATTTTAGAATCTGAACAAAAAATGAGAAAGAAAAATAATCAAAGCATTATTCTACTGCAATTATAGGTGTGTCTAACTAAAAAAACAGATAAAATGAGCACCTTTTCTTGCTGCAGCAACCGAATAATTTGTGCAAATTAATGCATGTACCATCTCAGGATCAAGACGACTACGATAGGGATCAACAGCACGACCAGCAGCACTAAAAGCAGACTCGGATGCTACTATAGCCATTACATCCCAAACAATTTGCGAAAGGATAGGATATTGTTCTCTCTTATTTTGCCACCATGCTAAGATGTCAAACTCACCAACAATTTTCAGAAGTGGTTCTGCAATATACCTCTCCAACTCATTTGACTCAACCATAGCAGGTTCACTTGCATCATATAAGAATTCTTCTAGGTCATGGTCTACATTTTCCATTAATATATCAGCTGTGTTACTAGGTCTAGGTGCAGCCCCTTTACTATTTTTCTTTGATGATGCAGGAGCAAATTTAACATAAAAGTTGTACAGTTTCTTTACCAAAGTAACAAACTCATCAAGTTCAACTTGATAATGATCACCATAGAACTTCTTCATGTAGTACTCTATCAACCTTTTCTTATACCTAGGATCAAGAAAACAAGCTACAGCTAGAGCAATGTTGGACTGCTGCCAATATTTGTCAAATTTGTCATTCATAGCAATTGTCATAAATCTAATTGTAGCATCTCCACTACAGCACCAGTCGTCAAGAAAGAGCTTTATATCACAGAAACCTCTATAAAATAAGTTTGCAGTAGGATATGAAATGCCAGATAGAATTTCAGTGAGATCATAAAATTTCTTCAAGCAACCATAAATTGTCAATGCATTGTCCCATTCAGCAGAAGATGGAGAAATCTTGGCATACAGCTGCTGCTGGAGAAATCAAGCAAAAGGTCCCAAATAGCCAAGCTTCATCAATAGCAAAAGCAATAATCAAGCAATCGGTCCCAAATTAGTACCTGCTGCTGGAGAAGCCGTTGCTGCTGGTGCCGATGCCACTGCCAATGCTGTCGGCGGCGCTAGAAGGTGGTGCACGCTCTTGGTCTTGGGCTTGCCCTTGATCTTCGTTCCAGGAGTAGAACCCCCTTCTCCAGCTCCAGTGGGTGCCATCGATGGCCGGGGTGGCGGCGCTACCTCGTGGCTGGGTGGCGGCCGGTGGCGCTGGCGGGCTAGGGACTGGGGAGTGGGCTGGGGACGCGGGCGGCCGGCGGGGTCGGGTGGAGGCGCGGCCATGGAAGAGGAGGTGCGTCCGTCGCGGACTCGCGGTCGTGTCTCCCGTCGCCACTCGCGCCGCGCGGCGTGGATAGGGGATACGGAGGGATTAGGGGCGCCGGCAGGGAGCCAGGGAGGGATTGGGCCCAGGGAGGAGTCGGAGGAGTGGAGGACTGAGGAGATTAGGGTTGTCATTGGGCTGGGCTGTAGAGTTTGCTTTGTGGGTTGTGTTGTACGTTCTGCGTAGTGGACCTAGAAAACGGTACACTCCCAATTAAAAGTAGAAAAGTAGAAAACGGTCGGAAAAAAGCTAAACCGTTTTCGTTCCGTTTTCGAATTTGATAGTTCGAATTTCGAACCGAATTCGAATTTGTTCGAAAATACGAATTCGATCGGTTCAAATGTAGAAAACGATGCGGTTCGGTTCGGAATATTTTCGTACCGTTTTCATCCCTAACGTTGACGCGGAAAAGGAGTGCTCCTTGCGTCTCCATTTGGTCCCTAACGTTGGCGCGCACCTAATGCATCCCGTGGTGCCCAGCTGAGGAGTATATTGTATGCGCACAGAATATAAATTGCACCGATAATAGGACCACCATCCAACCGTATCGCAAACCTGGAACGCGCGCGACCATCCACGTCTGACACAAAGCCTCTCCGCGTCTGTTGTTAGTTGAGTAGTTAACAGCATTCGTATTGACCTGATCATCTCCACAACGACAGCATATCACATATATTATGTCGCTCTTCAAAGTCTTCATCGAACAAATGAGGAGCCGACATCAGACATCTTCGTAACCGTGTGCCATATATAAATTCAGGATTCTTTGCTGCGCTGTGGTTGTTCAATGAGACAATGATCGTCACCCGGTGGTGCCATAACATGATATGATAAGCAAAGTTTGTTCACGAGCACCAAGCAAAGCCCGAAGCAAACAAGCGCGCGTCAACCTGATTAGACTAGAACCCGACGTGGCGGCCACGCAAGCACCGGCACCACCTCCGATCCGTTCGGTGGTTTCCCACTTGGGATGGGATGTTTTAGCCTTGATCGGCCTGATGATGCCATGACCGATGGACGCAGTCACAGAAACGACAACACCTGGCTCTTCAGTCTGCACACCGGCAATCATCGTTGACGACGCTGAGGCACACGACATCATCCTGCTCTCCGGTCCGTGGAGATTTGCCGTACCGTACGTGCCTATGTGCTCCGGTCCGTCTTACTGTTCAAGTCCGTGCAGCCGGGGGAACTGGGTTAGATTATGATGGCTCGACGAGACGCAGCGTGGCACTAAGCTAGTCATCAATCACTGTTACGAATCCCCGGACCTGCAAGGCGTTTCGTCCGTACGTATCCGGGTGATGTGACCAAGCGGGAGACGAGACGAGAGCAAAGCAAACTAGGAGAAGTCTTCGTGGCGGGATCGAAGCCCCTGTGGCCGCTCGAGCGTGTGTACGCGTCGTTAGGCTGCTCTCGTGGCCGTGGACGTGGCGTGCTACGTGGCCACCTGACTGTTTCAACGGCGCTGGGAGAGAATAGTCAAGCCGTCGACACGGCGCTGGATAAAAAGTCGGTGTTTTGCTCGACCCGGGCTACGTCAAAGCGGGAGAAAACTCGGTCAGCGCGTCGTCACTTCCACTAACACACGTTTAATTTAGCGTTTGCAGTTGCTCAGCTCGTCACATCAGATGTCCCTACCTACCAAATGGTCAGTGTTTTCAGTTAAAGGAAGGAATCAGGCGCGCTAGCACTAACACCACCGCAGGACCGATGTCTGTCGTTTTCGTTTTTCGAAAAACAACTTTGACTAAATATATATTAAAAAATATTAATATTTATAATATATAATTAATATCATTGATAGATATTTAAATCTAGTTTTTAATAAATTTATTTAAAGATAGAAATGTTGCACGTATTTTCTATAAATCGAGTCAAAGTTATCAACACGTAAATCGTGACGACTAACATTTACGAACCGAGGGAGTACCCATTAAGCACTGCCCTGCACTCATGCTGTAGCCTGTAGCTGTAGCTCTGATGCTCAGGGAAGCTTCGATCCGTACGGACCTGTTTGCATCCAAAAAGGAAAAACTACTTTCACGGATCATCAGCTGTAGTGTAGCGTGTGCACTCCCTGCTTGGCTGCTTGTTCGCTTCACGTGTGCCGTGCCCTGGTCGACCATACCGATTGCCTCGACGAGTCCTGATCCGACCATTCATATGTAATAACACATGCTCAAGCACGGCGAATTTCAGGGAGAAACGAAAGGAAAGAAAGAAAGAACCGGATGCCCACTGGGTACTGGGAATTCGAACACGTAGCAGTGTAGCACAGCGCGCGCAGTGCGCCGAATGATTGCGCCCTCCGATCCCTCGGCTGCGCTACACCACCCACGCGCGTCACACCCGCAATAAAAAGAGGTCCGGGACGGGCCGGGAAAGCGAGCCGCGCGGTGCGTTCGGGCCAGCAAGCATGGCACACAGCAGAGGCGGCAACGACACCAGCGACGGCAAACCTGAATAAACTCGCTTCGCTTGCCTCCCGCCCGCGCGCGGCGCACCTGGCCTGGCCTGGCTGGCAGCTGCGTGGAAGACTGGGAGTGGGAGGGCACGCACGCGCGCGCGCGCACGACTCGTCGTGCAAACTGCAAACCACCACCCACCTCGCCCCCACGTTCCCTCACGTGCCGCCCTGGCGCGGCGCAGACATGCGCGTCCTCCTCCTCCCGTCCAGCGCGGTTGCCCATCGAAGCGGCCAAGGCAGGGCACCAAACCACCTGCGCACCTCGGCTCCTTCTCACTACCCCAGCTGCGTTTTCTCCCGTCGGTCCAGCCCTTTCCCCTCGGCCCCGCGTCCTCCGTCAGCAACAAAGAAGTATCCCTCGCGTGGCAGTGAAACCGTATGGAGAGATGTCTCCCGTCGGTGGGGCACCGTCAGGAAGCTAATATGGTGCTTTTCGCACGCACCAACTGGACTCGCGCGCGCTTTCTTGGTGTCTTTCGCGCCTAGAAATTAGTTGCGCGCGCTGCCGCAGACCTGTCAGGCCCATCAACACAGAGAGCGGATGGAGCGAAATTATTTGGCCACGCGCCCAACGTCCTGGCAGCTTTGACTCCCGTGACCTTATCTGCTACTCCTCCCCTCCCCCAAATTATCTCTCCTCACGCACAACCACAAGCGCAGTCACGTAGCCGCCGCCGGTCTCCAGCGCCGCTGCCGCCCATCCAGCTATGCCGTGCCCCGCCCAGCCACCCGTGCTGTGCGCCGCCTAGCCACCACGCCATTGCTGCCCGCCGCACCTGCCTCCAGCGGCGGCCGCCGCCCTAGCGACCGGTGCGGCACCCAGAAACCAGCAGCGCCGCCCGCTGCCCCCATCACCACGCCGTCGGCCTCAACCAGCAGCGCACCAAGCCTCCTGCAACAGCTCCCTCCGATGCCCCAAGGTGCTGCGACTTCGATTTCGATTTCTTTCCCCAGCGATTTTGCCCTGTTTAGATCGAAAATCAATTTTGCATCTTGTAATTAAGTTGCTTCTGCTCTTGTTGATTGATGCTCTCATCTGATTTGTCTCCCATTTCGACTGCTCGCTTCGGGGCTTCTTTGTTCTTGCAGCAGCGGACGTCTAGCGGGAGCAACCTGGACTACCAACTCTGGCACCCCCATCTGGAAGAACTCTCCTGTCACCGTCAAACAGCAAGGTCAGACCACGCCTTGTCTCTCCTTCCTGGTTTCCTTTCTCCCTATACGAATTATTATCTAGCATATATGTTCTTCATTTGTGCTAGTCTTGTTGTGGTGAATTAGCTGCTATTTGGTTGCTAGCTGTTGTGATCTGCTATATATTGCGCAAATTTAAATATAACACAAATTTCGGTGACTATTTTTGCATTTGCTGTTCTATTTTTGCATTGTGATTCACTAGTTATGGTGTACTAGCTGGATAGAAATTTGTTATTATGTCTTTTAGTGTTCTATTACTAGCTGTATATGAATTTTTATTTTGTTTGACTGAAGTAATTTGTGTTATGTCTGAATTGGTAACAGGTTCTTCACTGTGATCTGGTTGCCTGTTGCTGCTTTATTTGGTTCTGTATGTGAGTTGGCATCGAAGTCTTGGACAACTACTGTGACTCTGCTAGCTACTGGTTAGCTCCTATCTTCTGACTCAAGTTGGCAGATAAGATATGACAGATCGTGGGTGGATGTATAGTGGTTGGACGCATGGTAGGCTATCAAATGAATGGGTTGACAAAATAAAAGAGTTTTTGGATAGTGCCTTCTCAATCCCTGAATTAGTTGAGTCTGATACAATTAGATGCCCTTGTTCCATATGCCAGAATTTTTTCAAGCACAAAAGGCCTAGGATAGAGTTGCATTTGTGCCACAATGGGTTCAAGGAAAATTACCAAACTTGGACAGCACATGGTGAGAGGCGGGGAAATCAGAACCTTGAGATTTGTTCTGAGGTAGAACATGAGGGATTTGGTGAGACAGATAGGATGGATGCTATGTTAGTTGACTTAGCTGGTGAGCATCCACCATTAGATGATGAAACACTAACTGGTTTTGTCGAAGCCTTCTATAGAATGGTTGTTAGTGCAGATGAGCAAGTATATGAGCAAACCTTGCATTGTAGTCTCTCTGCTGTTGCTCGTCTATTGGCCATTAAATCATAGTACAATCTTTCAGTAGCATGTTATGATGATTATATGGAACTGATGCATGAACTCCTTCCTCCTAATTCTAAGATTCCTAACAACTTCTACCGGTCTAGAAAACTGCTAGAGGGCTTTGGTATGCCATACCATAAAATTGATGTCTGTGATAAAAACTGCATGTTGTACTACAAAGATAACAAGGATAAGGATAAGTGTGACATATGTTGGTAAT